ATGGATGTTGATTTGTTTGTCTGAGCCCATAAAAATAAGAAGCATCTTTTAACTTCCGTTTACGTTTCTCAGAAGTTTGAGGTTTTAGCTGGTTTAAATTTATTAAAGTAAGTATAAAGAGCATGTAATCAATGCTGCAAAGAGTTACTTCCACAGGCTGCTTGCCAGAAGTCTAACTGTGATATTCATGGATTTTCATGTTTGCAGGATCAGGCCTTTAAATCTCCTCTTAGTATATTAATGCTTTCATTGACAAGAGTGCGATGCTATAAAACACACACAAAGATGCATTTTGTCACCTATTCTAGATATATACATATACATACACTAAATATACTGCATATGTAATATATGTATGAGGTTATGTTTATATACACATTAAATATACTGCATATATATGACTCTATGTTTTATATGCATACACTACGGATAATGAAAGTATCAGCCTTTTGTCATTATAAAGTAATGATAATTGTGTAATACAAACTTACAGAGGACAGCCATCCCACTGTACAGACAGTTTAGCAGTAGAACGCTTATTAAGCAGGAAATTAAGTAATTCCAAGGCTGTGAAAACATCCTGTCTATGGAATACACTGTTGTAGAAAAAGCATAAGGTGTAAAATGAACTTTAGACAAAATCCTTATGTCTTTGTTTGCAGTTGTTGCTTCAGTAAAAAGCACAAATGTAATTTATACTATTGTAAATAGTCTGTTGTCCATTAAATATCTTCAGGTTTAGCATGTCTACTTTCAATGCCTGTACTGGCTGCATGGAATAAAACTAGTCCTAGGAAGTGTAAATCATGCATCCCATAGCATCATTCCCTTGGAATTTGGTACAGCTCTAGTTGCATTAAATCTGAATGGCTGCTGGGTGAACATTAATTGTCAATATATTTTACTCTAACAGTTCTATTCTGCTCACTGAATTTTCAAAATTTATGTGAATTCAAAATTAATTTTAGAAAAGATAAGTATGTTTTAACTGTGAGCAATCAGTCTGTTGAATCTGAAGAATTTACTGAGCATTGACATTTCTGTGGCCAAAAGTACGTAGGCTTCTTGTGTATTCTCACAAAATAACTTACCATCCCTTGTAAGAAGGTCTCCTGCTTGAGCATCAAATGGATCTGTTGTGTTTGGTTATTCTTATCAGCTAACATCTTGTTGTAGCACAGAACTTGAGCTGTTATTGTAGAAGCTAAGTATCCTGTGTTTGACACCCTCTGTTGTGACATTTCTGTGTCATTTAAAGATGGAGGCATTAGGCTTCTTGTTTAAATGAAGGTTATCCCCTTGATTCTTTCTCTACTTGATGTAGATGGTTTTGTCTATTTTCTTCCCAAGTTTGCTCATAAGAGCATGGGTGTCTGCCAAAGTTACTTCTTCTGCACTGGATGTAGAGAAATCTGTAGCTGAAGCTCAGTTAATCCCTTTGATCCCTCTTTGCTGCTGCATCCATGAGCCCTGGTCCTGACCCCAGCACTGTGGCTGAGTTATCAAAAAACCTCGCATTGCCAGTCTCAGTCTCTTTGCTGATGCTTGTGAAAAGATCAGTGCATTCTGTGGGCACCTGCCAGCTGAGCAGCAACAACCAGCAGCGTGTAGGGTACTGCATATTATTCCCCATATCAGATATGATCTGAAAAACAAAGACTGCACATACCATGTGAAGAAAGACTAGGAAGAGATGGTGATCAATGGCTGCCAGTCCTTTGATGTGCACAGGCAACTTGAGAATAGCAGCCCTGAGCTATGTGTAGAAAGGGAGAAAGGAACTGCACATCTGTATTTCCTTGTGATTTGAAGAAAAAGGTGATGTTCTTAGATGAACTGGGTGGCTGGTTTTTGAAACAGAAATGTGGGACACAATGGCTTGAGAAAAGATTGGTTTTCCAAAGCAGAGCATATTCTTTCCTCTTGCTGGTCATCAGCAGTGCTTCCGAAGACCAGCCCTTCATGGAGGAAGTCGTGCTGGAACACAACGAGCTGGTGACAGTTTTAAGCTTTCCCTAGCATGTAATAACTCTGACTAATCGGTAGGTATGTGCGCTGCAAGGACAATGATATTTTTGCTCATTTGCTGCTTTAAATCACAGCATTCTGTGTGAGATGGTGCAGGCAAATGCATGCTGGAATGCATAACACTGACACAGGAATATTGGTACGTATGCATGTTTCTAAAACTTATTTAATGTACAGCAGGATTTAGTCCGAGTTGGGAGTGTTGCTTTTAGATACTGTCCCTTTCAGAAAGGCTTTTTCCTGGTAGGATTTATGAGCCACAGTTAGGGTAAGTGCATGGAACAGAGAGTCCAGTCTCCTGACCACACTGCCTGTGGTGCTGGATTTAGGAGAAGCCTGGTAACACAAGCTCCTGACAACTCCTAGCAGGACCTGCAACCCTTCAGCAGAAGGTCTTACTGCAGATGCTGTCCTGTTTAGAGAGGGAGTGTGATGTTACCTTTCCCGTTATATCAAGGTTAAAGCAGTTGGATCATTGTGATGGCTGGTAGGAGAAGGAGCTAGCCACAGCCCTCCCAAAAGCACCCTGGTTTTCCCCCTGCAGTCAGAGTCATCTTTTCCATGGTCTGTGCACATATGTGTGCCTGATAAAGGGGATGCTAAAGCTGCAGTCTAAAAACCAGTACTTCTAGATGTTTGACAGATCTGAACCACATTTGGGGCGTGGTGTAATTGTAAAAAGCTTTTAGAATATAACAGCATAGAGTAGAAATAAAATAAGAATAGGGATAGAGATAGGGAAGGAACTGAATGGAGTTAGAATAGGAAAGGATAGATAGAGTAGAACAGAATAGAATGGCATAATTTAGAGTAGAACAGGACAGGACAGGGGACCAGACAGGAAAGGACAGGACAAGAGAAGGGATGGGACAGGACAGGGGACGGGACAGGACAGAACAGAACAGCAAAGCACAGACCAGAATAGCACAAAACAGAATAGCACAGACCAGAATAGCACAAAACAGAATAGTACAAAACAGAACAGCCTGCTGCACCTTGGTAGACAGTCTGAGTGACTCAGCCCTTTAAAAGAGACAAAACAATTACCACTGAATAGAAGGCCATAGAGGCTGGGAGAAGGGATTGTAACATCAGTAAAAACCCTTGTTTTGAGACCCCACCTGCCTCTGTAACTCAGGGGTTTCATCTCCAGTGACCACCAGTCACTGGTGGTTCGTGCAGTGGCCTGAAGGTCCTCCTGAGATTCATTATCCTTACGTACTGTGTCATATAACAGAGGGAGTTTTGCCATCTTTACATTTACAGTGAAATTTAGAGCTCAGTATCAAATGTTTGGCTGGAAATGTCAGTATTGTGTTACAGCTGAATGAAGCTTAGCCTCTTAAACTAGATGATATTTTGTCCTAAATGTGTGATTTTGTTCCCTGTGCATGTACCCATCTTCCAAAAATTCTAGATATTGAATGTGCCCCACAGGAAGGTAAATGATGGAAAAAATGGTATGCCTGAAAGGCTTCACATGAAGAAAGATTACTTTAAGAGTTCCTTCATGTGCACTTGCCCAAAACATCCTAAGCTCAGCTGAATTCCTGAGTCCTGTAATTCTGCAATTACCAAAGTACTGGGGAATGCAGACACCTGATTTTATCTAGAATGGGGAACTCTGCATTGGCACTGCCTCGCTGATGGCAGTGAATATTTTTCCCTTATTAATTAATATTAATACAATTACACTGATTTTAAAATATATATAATGGGATCAAAAAAATGGCAAGACAATAATTCAGAATGTCATACTGCAATTAGGTGGATTTGGGAGTAAGGGTGGTCAGAAGAGTTTACTTATGTGATATTTTGAAAAAAAAATAGGAGAATGATTGCATAAGGTATGGATAAATGTTCCTTATATATCAAAAATCTGGATTGAGGTGTTTATTTTGAAGCTTCTGATGCAAGATACAATTCACATCCCCATTGTAAAAGTCTCTTTTAGGCCAGTGTTTTCAAAGGTGTAGCTTGTGTGCTGATAAGCAGTTACTGGAGCATGTGCAAAGAATGCCTGGTTTTTTGTGTGTGTTGCCATTTGTTCAATAGGAAGCTGGAAAAAAAAACAAAACAAAACAAAAAACATTAACTTTAGTGCAGCATACACAGTGATAGAGACACTAGTTGTGAAATGCTGGCTTTATAATTCATTATACTTTCTTTGATCCAGTGTTACAAATTAGGGTCACTCATGACAGAAGATTAAAACCTTTTTGTCTGTCTTTGATATCAAACTGTTCTTTCACAGTCCTTTTTATCTTACAGAGCAGCACTGAATTCCACAGCATCTTTGTTGGTTCAATCATGTTATTTGCAGCAATTATTTAGTTGGTTTTAGAACTAATATTATTTAGTTATACTGTCATTTGCAACAACAGAGGCTCTTTAATATCCTAAAAATGTTGAGAGGCTTCAGTGTTAGATGGGTAAGAATATGTATAAGAGACCACAAAGAATTTGGGGATTGTGGTGGGACTGCAAGGTAGCTAAATTGGATAGAAAAAGAAAAAAAAGCATACAAGTCATAGTAAGATTGTACATCAGAATAACTACAGCAATCTACTGAAAATTAGTAGATGATAGTCATGAGTAGCTTACAGTGAACCACAGGTACCAGCTTCCCTGAAGCAGAGAAATAGGAACTTGGAGAAGCTTGTAAAAGGTGTCCTCAGGGAATCTTCCATTTTTTCACATGATACCTTTAATCCTAGAATTGTCAAGCCACATGGAAAATAATAGGACTGAATAGTTCAGTCAGTTAAAAGTTAGTATTATTTCTTTTATCAAAAATATTAGGTCTTTCTGTGTTTCTGGAACTGTTAGGATTTGTATAAACTTTAAAAACAAGTGAAGTCAAGTATTGAACCTGTATTGCTCTTTCTTTTTTAATTTAAGATCATTATCTGTGACTAAGCAGACTCTATTCAATAGAAAGAAAGAACTTAAAGCCAATGTTTTTTTAACAGATGATTCAACGAGAGGCAGAAGTAAAGAATAAGGTAACTGCTGTGGCGTTGACAGACTCTATTCACAACGTGTGGCATCAAGAAGCTGGGAAAACTATTCGAGAGTGGATGCGAGAGGTGAGGCTTGTGTTTTTTTTAAGAGTTGGGGTATACACATCTGAATACGGCTCTATAAACATGTCTTTATCTTCTGATCTATTTCTTTAGTGTATGAAAGACAGCACATTACAGGACCTTGAAAATCTTGTGCCCATACCAGCCCCTAAAATAACTGAGATTAAAGCCATTCTGAACTTCAAAGCAGCCAAAATAATAAGAATCAAGTCCAGTGTTTCTTCCTGCTGCACAGCAATATAGAGACATATATAGAAACATATACCAAGGCAGCCCACATGCTGCCTGGTATCTGGAGCAAAGTACTGGGTGCACCCAGTGCTCCTGGCTTTATCTGTCAGTGATGGAAAAGCTCCATGTCTCAGTCTGATGACTTGCACAGCTGGCAAAAAATCCTTTCTCTCAGCAGTTTTATGAGATGTAATTACTTCCGCAGTGCTCTGAGGTTTTCTTATGAAAAGTCAGAGTATTTGCCACTGCTTAGCTACCAACAGCTACTTGGTCCAAGACGATCATGCATTGGTTGATGGTAAGCAAAAACCAAGTTCCACCCTTGTGTAAAGGATGATGCCATGCATTCATTATTCATATAATACTTAAGTGTGGGGCTGCTGAGATTTTAAAAATAACACTTTTTAAAGTCAGACCAACTAAACTTCCCTTCATGACTCTCTCCCTCGCCAGATGAGGCTCATGTCTGTGTTTTCTGCACTCCTGTTGCAGAATGCTAAAGCAATAGGTGCACGTGGAAAATTTAAACTAGTCACATCCTGAATTTCTTGTTAGACTTTACTTTTTTGGATGTATTTAGTGAAACTTTGTGTATAGACTGCATATTCCCAACTTAACCTTACAGCTTTATAGGCCATGATTGATGGGACTAGAGAATTACCCGAGATGCAGCCTGACAGCTCTGACTTAAATGTTAAAAATATAAAGAATGGTAACCCCTACAGGCTCTGTCAGTAAAATCCCCATTTTCTTTATGGGAAATCAAAACCTTAAAATATATGTTATGTAGTAAAACTGAAATTTTAAATCCTGTAATTTGAATCTGACAACTCCATTTTTCTTTAAGCATTTAGTCTGAATAAGACAAGTGCATTACCTTTAATTTCATTTGCAGAAAGTAGATGTTAAAGAATAAGTTAAATGATTAATGGCCTAAAAAGTGGATGGAGTGTCATAACTTACATTAGCATTGAAAATCTCCTATAAGGAAGAAGTATTTTACATATGTGAAGTGTGGCTTAGTGGTATGAAAACTAGTGTTATCACCTGGATGTCTCTTACTTTAATCAGGTTTAAGGCTACTGGTAAAATGAATAATAATTAAAATATACACCTAATCGCTGCCTGTCTGTAGGGCTAATTGCTGTCATAGAAAGAATGAACTGTTAAAAAAGTAATTCTTCATTGGAGCTATCTCTCCTGTATCATTGGTGGCCTATTTTTAGTACCTATAGAAGTCATGATTTTTGAATTTATTAGGAGCTGTGATGAATGATAAAACAAATCATCCATTTACATATCTTGACACTGCTTTCGAGAATACTTATTTCTTACCAGCAAGTGTCACATTGTATATAAAAGCTGTTTAATTGTGTGCTAATCATCTGTATTATCTCCAGATCTCTGATGTAGTGTTCTACCAGTAGTTAATATTAATTCTACTTATTTCAAATTAATTTAATACTTCATAAAAATTCTACTTCTTTTATAATTACTACCATCTTACATTTGCCATTTCACATTCAGCTGTTAATTAAAATTATACATGCAAATCGTAAAATGTATAAAGCTTTACTACTTTAAACCTTAACGCCTTTGTGAAATATTTCCATTTTAAACATTTTTTACTAAAAGAAGTTACATCACAGGGTAGTGTTTGTTGTTTTCATTTTTTTTCATCAAATTCAATAGTTTCATTGATCTGCTGTTTCTTACAGAAATCTGCCATGCTTTGTGAACTTCACTTTCTAATCTCATACAGCAACCCTTTCTTTATGTTGTTCCTGCTCTCCCTGGTCCCAGAACAGTAGGGTTGCCTTGACAAATCTATTCAAAAGCTATTCCTTGCCCTTTATTGGTGGGGACTGAAGGCTTTGAAATTCTCTCCTCACTGCAACACAGCTGACATCTTCTTCCAGACAGAATGAATTAAGGAAATACAATAAGACACTTGATCTACCAGTCAAGGATCTTTCCACAGCGAGGACTCCACGGTGCACAACTAGGGCAGCAAGCATCTACAAATACACAATACTTGCTTGTTTACCAGAATAGCAATCATCCATTTTTGCAATCATGATTGATGGAATGATTTTGTAGAAATCTGTCTGAAAATTCATTGGCGCTTTCCAAAAAGTTGTGAGTTTTGTTGGGTTTTTTTTTTTCCTTTCTTCTCCTTCATGACGTTAATCAGGTTAACAGAAAGAGAAAAATCAGATTTGTAAGAAGGTAGATAGATCATGTAGATCTTGTAGTTCAGCTGGCAATCCTATTAAAAACATAGTTGCTTTATATTTAAATCTTTAATTCGGTAGATTTGGTGTAAATTCAGCATATTTCATTAAAAGTGTATTATCTAATGCTTTAGTTCATAGACTCCTCTGAATAGATAGTACTTGGAACAAAACAATTTAAAAATTCGTGGTAAATTCATCCTACTCAGAGGTTCAGGAATGGAAGGTAAATGTAAATGTTTCCTGAACATAATTCCCCAAAGACCCGTATTTGCATTTTTAAATGTTCATGTGCAGTTCATCTCATCTGTATTTCCAATTATTTGAATATTAATCTGCTATCTTGACGGCTTTCATTCATTTATAATCTGTTGTTCTGTGATTTTGCAATCATTCTTTCCTTCAAAACACCCTGAAAAATTCTAATTTCTTAATGTTGGCAAGCAAGCAGGCTCAGTGTTTATGTGAACACCTATTTGACAACTACAGAAAGGAAACACTTAAAATGTGCAGTGGGTAATTGAGGCACCGGTTTGTCCAAGCACCTACTTAAGTCTGCTGGCACTCAAAATAACACTTAAAGACATGCTATTTAAGCACATTACAAATCTCCTGAATTATGGTCTTACTCCGTTTACTTATTTAGTATGTAACTACAATATTTCATCACCAGTTAGTGTGAATAAGTTAGTGTACCTTCTCCAGTTGCTGTTGGGAATCCCGTGTAAATTACTTAGAAGTATTTTGGTTCAATCATTGTCCTTACTTTAAAAGTCAGTATTTATTTTTGCTCCAAGTTCTTGGCTTACCCCAAAATTGCTTGCCTGCTCTTACAGAACTGCTGCAACTGGGTGTCCAGCTCCGAGCCCCTGGACACTTTGGTGGAGTCCATGCTACCAGACTGCCCCCGTGTCTCTTCAGGTATGTCGATTTGTGCCCAGGAACATATTGTTTGTTTACATTTTTAAATAAATAATTATATTATTAATAAATTAGTTAATAATACATTTGGTTCTGAATGCATTTTAACCCTTCCATGGCAAGATATGGTTGCAGGTATATGGCTGCTGTTATTTTATATAGCCCACTTTTTTTTTCTTCTTTGCTTCCTGGGGGATTTAACTTCTCTTGTCTCCTTGTAGCATATATTGTTTTTAATTTTCTTTTCTCTTTGGCTTTAAGTAGTTGGTGACATGATAAGTAGGAGCTTGAAAAAAAAAACTATGGTGCAAACTGGGAAATTTATCATAGATCTTTGAATAAATATATAACTGTTATGTAGTCAAGAAGGTTTTACAGAAGTACATCAATGAAAGGTACAGCTAAGTGCAATCAGACGCTTGTTTATGTAGCAAATTATTTACAGTGTCCAAGAACGTTAATGTGAGATTTCTGTTGTTTTGGAAATACTCAGCCATGCTTTTTTATTAATGAATCACAAATCATAATGAGCACATGAAATAATATATCAAAGCTTTTGTTAATGTGTAATAATTCCAGAAAGTAGATGCAGTTGTCAGTGTAACAGTAAAATCTCCTGTCTCTGTAGGAAAGTAATCTAAAATACATAAAGCTGTTACCGAACTTTCATGTTTTATTATCAGATTTCCTTAAAGCCATAGGTAGCATATTTCTGTAGAATATAAAATCAGGTTCAATTGAAGACACAGCCTATATAGTATTAATTTAAAAGCTGGAAGTGTGTTTGACCTTGCTCTGTGAGACGCAGTTGTTCATTTGACAAGTTAGAGATTCCTATCTGCTTGGATTTGTGAGGTTGTTAATGAGACCTAACCTTGCAGATAAAATGTAGTTTACAGCGGGATATTTTTAAAGCTTGGAAAATTTAGCAATTCTTTGTTTGAGAGCTGACAACAACCTGTGATCACATTTCTGCTGTGGGCTAGGATCTAACCATGCAGATCATCAGCTCTGTGCAGATGCAGTGCAATAGCATTGACATTGCTCTTTAGTGCTTAGGAAAATGATATATTACTAAATTTTTATATATTCAACATTGCTGTTGTGGAAGAGTGCATGTTATAGAGGTCATTTTAGTTGGGTAAATAAGGGCCTTGGATAGGAACTGGTCACTATTAACAGCATACTTGCGGCACTGAAAATCCTCTGTCTGAGCTTCTCTTCTCTTGCTTTGTATTCATCATATGTAAATAATATAAAATTTATTCTATAAAATAAACCCTGTCATTTAAAAAAACAAACCGATGCTTTAATGGGGGTATGCATAAGTCTTAATTTTTCATTTCTGTCGAGGATGGGTCAAAGTGGGCATATTGTTTATGCTCCACTTAATGAACTCCTAGCTACACTGAACTTTCTGGCAGAATTAGTTTAAATGAGGTAGCATTTCAGCCAGCAGAAGTTGTAAAAGTTAGCTATTTGTATTTCTTGCATACATACAATGCCACTAGATTAAGACCACTGATGTTCTACAAGATCTTGTCAAAGATTTTGGACAATGATTTAAATGGCAGAAAACTATTTCCAGGTTGATTCTTTGTAATATAAGAACAATAAAATGGTATAGCTTGATGTGACTACTGCTGAATTATCAATGTGCTCATATGTTTTGGTTTGTATTTCTTGCTTTAATGTCTTATATGGACAACTGTAAGACATTTACAGAGGAACAGGTGAATAATTCCTACAGTGTGTTTATATGAGTAATGGCATAAGCCAGCATTTGGATAATCTGTAATAAATTTATGAAATGCTACTAGATTTAGGAACATTAGTATTTAATGTGAGAGATTTTATTTCACTTTTCCTGAGAATTGCAGTACTAAAACAGTCCACAGTCAGATACTGGCAGCATTTCCCTTAGTATACCAATGAATGACAGTGAGAGCAATCAGAGCAATGAGAGGAGTTTTTTTTAATATAAACATTTTGCAGAAGGAATATTTGCTTGGAACACCATCTTTTGTCTGTGTTTGCACTCAGAATTAGTTCAGGAATAACTGCCTCTTGGTCACATCTCATGAGCCAGCTTTTTCAGAAAAAGATCTCATATTCAGACATTCATAAATGGGATTTACAGGAGCTCCCAGTTTGTTTGTGAGTAGTGCCTATTTCAGATTATGCCACAGTCTCTTGCTTGCATTTCCCTTAACACTCACTAGAGAGAAATAAATGGCCATCAAACTGGAGAAACAACTTGCATTTCAGATACAGTTGTCGAAGCTTTTGATTAGAGCATTGTTAAGTAATTAAAATGTTTGCCATAATTCATTCATGTCTTAGTTACAAAAATGAATGAATAAACTTCAATAATTAAACATTGTAGACATGAAACAACAACAATACAGAAAAAGCAAGCCATAGCAAATCCATTCTCTGTCCTTGTGGTTCTTTCTCCACAGCCAGAGGAGGGGTACTGTGAGAGTTCCACCTTCACACTTTCTCCACATCTCAAGGATTCATTCCATGCTAGTGTCATAGTTCAATGACTTCTTGCAAAAGGTTATCATCACACAATTTCCCATTTAAAGCAGGTGTCCTGTGTGGTATACATAATCCTAAAAAGTATCCCTTGCAGTGCTGAGACAGCTCCCAGGTCAGGCATCTTCTATGAGACCTGGAGCTCCAGCTGAAGCTATCTGTCCAACACTACCCATCTTCTTACTGTTGCCGTATTATTCCAACAAGAACAAGGCATTCATCCTTATCAGAGAAGAGACTTTCCCTCTGTCATTTAGTCTTTACCAGGCAGGGTTGTCTAGCATCATTCCCTGCTACTCCTCCTTCAGGAGAGCAGACTTTGGTCTCTTCAGGGATCTGCTTAGCCGCATAACTGTGATAAAACCCCAGAGGGGAGTGGGGCCCAAGAAAGGGTTAAGATTCAAGGAACACCTCCAAGCTCAGAATCAATGCATCTCAGCAAAAAGGAAGTCAGGCAAGAACAACCGGGGGCCTGCATGGATGAACAGGGAACTCCTGGACAAACTCCAGCAAAAAAGGAAGCCCACAGAGAGTAGAAGCAAGGGCTGGTAGCCTGGGAGGAATACAGAGAAACAGCCCAAGCAGCCAGAGATCATGTTAGGAAACCTAAAGCCCTGGCGGAATTAAACCTGGCCAGGGACGTCAAAGGCAACAAGAAAAGCTGCTATAGGTACATTGGTGATACAAGGAGCTCTAGGGAAAATGTGGGCCCTCTCTGGGAGGAAATCGGAGACCTGGTTACCTGGGACATGGTAACTTTTTTGTCTCAGTCTTCACCAGCAAGTGCTCCAGCCGCACTGCTCAGGTAACAGAAGGCAAAGGAAGGGACTGGGAGAAAGAAGAACCACCCCCTGTGGGAGATCAGTTTTGAGGCAATCTAAGGAACCCAAAGATGCACAAGTCCATGGGACCCAATAAGATGTATCTGTGGGTCCTGAGGGAACCACTGATGAAATGGCTATTCCACTATCCAGCATATTTGAGGAGACATGGCAGTCCAGTAGAGTTCCCATGGACTGGCAAAGGGTTCATGGAAAATAAGGAGCTGATTGGTGACAGCCAACATGGCTTCACTAAAGGTAAATCGTGCCTGACAAATCTGGTGGCTTTCTACTATGGGGTTACAACAATGTTAGATAAGGGAAGAGAAAAGGATGTCATCTACCAGGACTTGTGCAAAGCAATTGCCACTGTCCTCCATGACATCTTTGTCTCTAAATGGGAGAAGCATGGGTTTGGTGGATGGACCACTGTGGATAAGGAATTGGCTGGATGGTTGCACTCGAAAAGCTGTGGTCAATGACCCAATATCCAAGTGGACATCAGCGATGAGTGGTGTCCCTGAGGGGTCAGTGTTGGGACCAACCATGTTGAGCATCTTTGTCGGTGACATGGATAGTGGAATCGAACACCCTCAGCAAGTTTGCCAATAACACCAAGCTATGTGGTTTGGTTGATAGGTTGGAGGGAAGGGATGAGATCCAGAGAGACCTTGACACACTGGAGAGGTGGGACTGTGCAAAACTCATGGAGCTGAACAAGGCCAAAGGCAAGGTCCTACCCCTGGGTCAGGACAATCCCAAGCACAAACACAGGCTGGGGGAGACTGAATGGAGCAGCCCTGAGGAGAAGGACTTCAGGGTGTTGGTTGACAAGAAGATCCCCATGACCCAGCTTCATCTTGAGCCCAGAACACCCCTGTGGCTGCATCAAAAGGAGCGTGAGCAGCAGGTTGAGGGAGGGGATGCTCCCCCTCTGCTGTACACTAGGAAGACCCCACCTGCACTCCTGTGTCTAGCTCTGGGGCAACAACACAAGAGGGACATGGAGCTGTTGAAGCGAGTCCAGAGGAGGCCACAGGGATGCTGCGAGGGCTGGAGCAGCTCTGCTCTGGAGACAGGCTGAGAGAGCTGGGCTGGTTCAGCCTGGAGAGGAGAAGGCTTCTTAAGGGGAGACTTTAGAGCAGCTGCCAGTGCCTAAAGGGGCTACAGGAAACCTGGAGAGGGGCTTTGGACAAGGGCCTGTAGGGACAGGAAAAGGGGGAATGGCTTTAACCTGACAGAGGGGAGACTGAGATGAGATCTTAGGCAGAAGTTCTTCCCTGTGAGGGTGCTGAGGCCCTGGCACAGGTTGCCCAGAGAAGCTGTGGCTGCCCCATCCCTGGCAGTGTTCAAGGGCAGGTTGGATGGGGCTTGGAACAGCCTGGTCTAGTGGAAGGTGTCCCTGCCTGTGGCAGGGGATTGGAACTGGATGAGCTTTAAGATCCCTTCCAACACAAACCAGTCTGGGATTCTGTGGTTTTCAGGCTAACAGTCCTCTCTTGTTTCCAGTTGTGAAGCATTGCACAATTAAGGTCCTCACCTACAACACCGTCACCTCACTGGCCTGGAGGAGCACTCTGTCAATCTCCTGCCTTCAGTCTCTGTTAAAAAGACTTATTTCCTACCTCTTCACTTTCA